ATAAAAAACAGCAAAGCAGCTTAGCCGTTCCTACCTGTCAGCCGCCGCCGAGCCCCAGCCTCTTCCTTCTCACCGACGATCCCCGGCCTCCACTTCCACCAATGCCGCCGATCTCCAGCCTTCTCGCCGCCGATCCCCGGCATCCCCCCCTTCACTGCTGATCCCCGGTAGCTTCCTACTCCACGGCCGAGGGCCGCAGTCTCCTCCGCAGCAGCCGGGTCTCGTCCTCCACCTACACGGCTGAGCCCCTTGACCGGGCCCCCCTCTGCCCTGGGCCCCATAGCGACCGCATGGGTCGCTATGGTGGTAGTTACGCCACTGAATACCGCCCTGCGGCCCAGTCTCCAAAGGGAGGGGATCATGCTCTGCTTCAGTATGTCACAGTACATGTTGGCATTCATCGTTCACTCAATGAACTGTAGCTCCCCAGTGCCGGCAGCACTCATGCAGCCCCAGACCATGACACTCCCACCACCATGCCTGACTGTAGGCAAGACACACTTGTCTGTGTACTCCTCACCGTCTGAACCAAATAAGTTTATCTTGGTCTCATCAGACCACAGGACATGGGTCCAATAATCCATGTCCTTAGTCTCCTTGTCTTCAGCAAACTGTTTGCTGGCTTCTTGTGCATCATCTTTAGAAGAGGCTTCCTTCTCGGACGAAAGCCATGCAGACCATATTGATGCAGTGTGCGACGTATGGTCTCAGCACTGACAGGCTGACCCCCCACCCCTTCAACCTCTGCAGCAATGCTGGCACCACCAGGGCTGCCGTCTGGGGGGTACGGCCGATATTGATGTAAGGGGCCCGGCCAGGCTTAAGGGCCCGGGCACCTTACATGACGAGTATCGGCCGTTCAAGTGACAGGCCAGGATGTGGCCGGGCCCCCCGCAGCACCGGAGGAAGCCGGGGCCTGCACGCTCCAGACCCTCACCTGGGATGCCTCCTCCGGTGTCCCCAGGGGGTCTCTCCACTGTACATTCGTTTTTAAAGATGGCCGCCGCGAGTAGCGGCGGCCATCTTTAAAGCTGGCAAGCGCCCACATATCATTTAATATATTGCCGAACAGGCAATATATTGAATGAAAATCATTCCCTGGTCTCTTGCTGATGCAGATCATACTGATCGCTCCCTCGTGGTGCCTCTGCTAACAGGCAGGGATCGATTAGTATGCCTGCATCAGCCAGAGTGCAGAGCACACCGATTCTCCACTGAAGCCCAGGAATGCAGCCCCCCTTCCTGCAAAACAGGTAAGCAGGAGAGGGGGACGTTTTTTAAATAACTATTTTAATTGTTAATGTGTGTGTGTGTTTTTATTGTGTGTTTTAATGAATGTGTGTGATTTTTTTTTTTAATGAAGCTATGTGTGTGTTTTTTAATCAGTGTGTGATATGTGCGTGTTTCATTACACATTTTTTTTTTTTTTTTTTAACCACTTCCCGCGGGTTCACGTAATTGTGCGTCATCCGCTGAAGCCATGTTCTTGTACTGTGTTAAACAGCTGACGATTGCTGTTTAAATACAAGCGATCCGGCGTCTGTACAGGCGCGGAATCACTTGTACGGTGCAGGGCTGTGCCCCCCTCCTCCACGGCCGCCGGTGCCACCGTCAGTTTCCTGGGCTCATCTGTTCCTCGTGTGAGCCCAGGCCGCACGTGGAGGTTCTCCCCTGACAGATCGGAGGAGAGATCAGTGGCTTCTAGCTGCGGATCTCTCCTCCGATCACTGGACCTGGTAGTGATGTGCATTACATCACTTCCGGTGTCACTGTACACAGTCTCTGACCACTTACAGTGCGTTCCGGCCAGAACGCACTTCATCGCAATGCAGCCGGCTCACTTTTGTGCTGGGCAGGAGGGGCCGCAATTTGATTGCCTGCACAGGATCGCAGGGCACATTCTGCCTGCAGTGGGTTCCGGTGTTGTGCGGTCAAAATACTGCAAGCACTATTTTGACCGCATCGGGACGCAGGCACAATGTGCCCTGCGATCCCGTGTGGGCGATCTCATTGTGGCTGGAGGGCGTGGCTATGGCACCATTCACTTCAATGGCCAATGTGATGCAGTGCGTTTCGGCCGGAATCGGGCCGGGACGCACTGCAAGTGGTGTGGACAACCCCTTAGAGCCAGAAGAAGAAGCTGGTGAAGATCTCTGCTTCTTTGGGGTCCCTAGGTGACATTAAGGGTATGAAAAACCCCTGACGTCTCCATGAAGAGGACCTGTCACATATGTGCTATTACATAAGGGGCTTTTTATCCCACTATGTGATAGCAATAAAGCTGAGTGTAAAAAAAAAAGGTAAAAATTAAAGTAACATGAAAAAAAAATGTAAAATGCAAAAAAATATTTTGTTTAAGTTTCCCCTTTCCTCACGTGCATGCACATACAACACAAACCCGGGTCAGATGCGCCTACATGCAAAAACTAAAATTACGCCACACATGTTATGCATCGTCGCAAGCGTCGGAGTGAGAGCAATAATTCTTTACCCATCAATCACTGATAACACTAAACTGATGAGCCGTAAAAGCATTTAAAGCGTCACTTATGGAAAATTCCCCTTCAACCTCTGCTGCAAGGCTGGCAGCACTCATACATCTATTTCCCAAAGACAACCTCTGGATATGACAATGAGCACGTGCACTCAGCTTCTTTGGTGGGCCATGGCGAGGCCTGTACTGAGGGGAACCTGTCCTGTTACACCGCTGTATGGTCTTGGCCACCGTGCTGCAGCTCAGTTTCAGGGTCTTGGCAATCTTCTTATAGCCTCGGCCATCTTTATGTACAGCAACAATTCTCTTTTCAGATCCTCAGAGAGTTCTCTGCCATGAGGTGCCATGTTGAACCTCCAGTGACCAGTATGAGAGAGTGAGAGCGATAACACCAAATGTTAAGGTGCCCATACACTGTACGATTCTCGTACGAGAATCGCGGGAAATCCCGCGATCGTACGAGAATCGTACAGTGTATGGAAGGCGTGCGAGCGTTTCTACTGTACGGTCGCACGTCTTCCGTCAAACAAGCAGGCTGGAAAACCCGCCGGGAATCGTACGATTCTCGGCGAGTGAGTGGCCTGCTTGTTCGACAACTGACGAACGGGCCGGTGTGCGCACGCGCACACTGCCCGTTTGCCGTGCTTGCAAGCCCGCCCCTCATTGCAGTCATCGCAAGTACGATCTGCCTGTCCAAGATGGGCAGATCGTTTTTTTAAGTACTTTACAACCATCGCAAGACTAAAGCTGGCCATACACCTTACAATTTATCTGCAGACTTTCTATGGTCAGATGGAAAAGGTGCAACAGATTCCCCCATCTACACTTATCTGTGTGGATGGAGTAATCTCCACCTGGGCCAATCTGTTGCACTTTTTCCATCTGAACACAGAACATCTGCAGATAATTGTAAGGTGTATGGCCAGCTTTAGTCTTGCGATGGTTGTAAAGTGTATGGCCACCTTAACACACATGCTCCCCATTCACACCTGAGACCTTGTAACACTAACGAGTCACATGACACCGGGAGAGAAAATGGCTAATTGGGCCCAATTTGGACATTCTCACTTAGGGGTGTACTCACTTTTGTTGCCAGCGGTTTAGACATGAATGGCTGTGTGTTGAGTTATTTTGAGGGGACAGCAAATGTACACTGATATACAAGCTGTACACTCTCTACTTTACATTGTAGCAAAGTGTCATTTCTTCCGTGTCGTCACATGAATTGATATAATAAAATAATTACAAACATGTGAGGGGTGTACTCACTTCTGGGAGATGCTGTATCCCTTGTTTTATTTATCTTAATAAACGATTTTACACAGAGGTAGCGCTCTGTTCCCTTTGTTTTCGGATTGGTATATACTTGGTTGGAGGCTTGGTATATGATACATGGAAATAACCCTGTAGGTCAGGCGGTGACAGTGTACACGTTGTTGCAGGCAGTGTTGTGTGTGCTCTGTGGGTCAGGCGGTGACAGTGTACACGTTGTTGCAGGCGGTGTTGTGTGTGCTCTGTGGGTCAGGTGTTTACAGTGTACACGTTGTTGCAGGCAGTGTTGTGTGTGCTCTGTGGGTCAGGCGGTGACAGTGTACAAGTTGTTGCAGGCAGTGTTGTGTGTGCTCTGTGGGTCAGGCGGTGACAGTGTACATGTTGTTGCAGGCAGTGTTCAGTGTGCCCTGTGGGTCAGGCGGTGACAGTGTACACGTTGTTGCAGGTGGTGTTGTGTGGTGTGCTCTGTGGGTCAGGCGGTTACAGTGCACACGTTGTTGCAGGTGGTGTTGTGTGTGCTCTGTGGGTCAGGCGGTTACAATGCACACGTTGTTGCAGGCGGTGTAGTGTGTGCTCTGTGGGTCAGGCGGTGACAGTGTACACGTTGTTGCAGGTGGTGTTGTGTGTGCTGCGTGGGTCAGGCGGTGACAGTGTACACGTTGTTGCAGGCGGTGTTGTGTACGGATAGTGAACACTGAGATGTCGGTAAACATCCCGTCACGTCTCGAACTGACATTTCCAACCACCGTCCTCCCACAGTCACCAGCGTCTCCACCAATAGCGTGCGGCTCCGCCCACTGATGTCACCGTAGGCCCCGCCCACCATTGCTTTGCTCTTCCAGGTACACAGAGGCAGTGCTGGGGGGCGGCTGGCCGGAGCGGTGGAGGGGAATGCTCGAGGGGATGATGAGGGGAAGGTGAGTGACAACAATCATCATCACAGCGAGCTGGGGTCACCGTGCTAGGCTGCTTTGTCTCGTAGTCTAATGATGACATGCCCCCCCTCCCCCCGTGTCTGTGTTGTGCTGAAGTGTGAGTGTAACGGGGGGTGGCGGCGGCTGTGTTCGTTGCACCATCAAAAAGCAACAGTCACAGACAAGTAATATACCTATGTGTGAGTCATTGTAATATTGACATGGGATACCTGTGCCAGTGTCATTGTGATAACACAGAGGTGGGGTGTCAGTGTTGTGTTGGTCTTTGTCTTGTAGTGTCAGTGTGATGGTCGTAGAGTGGGGTGTCTGTGTAATGATGTCATAGAGTGGGGTGTCAGTGTGATGATGTCATAGAGTGGGGTGTCAGTGTTGTTTTGGTTTTTGTCTTGCAGTGTCAGTGTGATGATGTCATAGAGTGTGGTGTCAGTGTTGTGTTGATCTTTGTCTTGTAGTGTCAGTGTGATGATGTGTGATGACACACATCTGCTGGGATCCAGTATGATATTTGAGGACACAGATGTCTTCTGTTTCTTGCTCTCCATGTCTGGTGGTTTGGGTCATTAGTGTGGGATTGGATGGGCCATATGGTGCCTGTGTGCCCTTTAATCCTCTGATCTGGCCGTGTATTATCTCTGGCTGTGGGTATTAGTCACATTTTACCTCTATATTGTGCCAACTGCCCCCTCTGCCTGAACTGAATCTCTCTGTCTGCCTTTCACCCTCTTCCATTCTGTAATACAATTATTATTATACAGGATTTATATAGCGCCAATAGTTTGCACAGCGCTTTACAATATAGGGAAGACATTACAGTCACAATACATTTTAAGACAAGATGGTAAGGAGGGCCCTGCCCGTGAGAGCTTACAATCTAAAAGGGAGGGGCAAGTGATACATGAGGAGGGAGCTGCGCGGGAATGATTGTTTGAGAACTTGATGGTTGAGCGGTTAGGTTGAGGTGGGATAGGCTTCCCTGAAGAGATGAGTCTTAAGGCCCCGTTCACATGTAGCGACATACCTTTGCAGCGGCCGGGATAGCGCGACTTTCGGGGCGACGTTCCAGCAACGGTGGCGCGACCTTCTCCGTCGGGCTCCATAGAAAAAAAGCAAGATCCGCTGAAAAAAGGGTCCGGTAGAAGCGACTTGCGACCGCGACGAGCGACATTGAGCTAAGACAGCTCCATTGACTATCATTAGCCGGCGACTTCTCGCGATATCGCGCGGCAAAAATGCGCGATAAGTCGCCACATGTGAACGGGGCCTAAGGGATCGCCTAAAGGCAGTCAGTGTGGGAGATAGACGGACAGGTTGGGGTAGAGAGTTCCATAGAACTGGGAGACACTCTAGTGAAGTCTTGGAGGCGAGCATGGGAGGAGTTGATGACAGAGCTGGAAAGCAGGAGGTCTTGGGATGAGCGGAGAGGACGCTTAGGGTAATACTTTGAGACCAGGTTGGAGATATAGCCGGGGCCAGAGTTGTGGATGGCTTTGTACGCGGTTGTTAATATTTAGAATTTTATCCTCTGGGCTATAGGAAGCCAGTGTAGGGATTGACAGAGGGGGGTTGCAGACACTGAGCGGTTGGTTAGGTGAAGGAGTCTGGCAGCTGCATTCATGATAGACTGAAGGGGGGGATAGCTTGTGTAGTGGAAGGCCAATGAGCAGGGAGTTGCAATAGTGAAGACGAGAGATAACAAGGGAGTGGATGAGTAATTTTGCGGTGTCATTGGTGAGGAAGGGGCGTATTTTGGAGATGTTACGAAGGTGAAGGCGGCAGGATTTGGATAGTGATTGGATGTGGGGAAGAAAGGTGAGGTCCGAATCAAGGATGACACCTAGGACCTTGGCATGGGAGGAGGGGTGGATAGTTGTGTTAACAATCTCAAGGGAAATGTTGGGGGGAAGGTGCACGGGCAGGAGGAAATATCAAGAGCTCAGTTTTTGAAAGGTTAAGTTTTAAGAAGTGTTGCGACATCCAGATAGATATGTCAGTTAGTAGATTAGTGAAACGCAAGGACACTGAGGGATTCATTTTTTAAGCCCATCTCCGGAATATGTCTACCCCCTCCCATCCCCCTCTAACTGATTCCTAGCAGTAAAAAATAAAATAAATCCACACGCTTATCTAAGGGCCCATTTTATTTACTGAAATCTGCAGTCACCTGATCCTCCTTTACGGAGACTTCTCTATTCCTTTGTTTACATCCAACATTATTTTTCATTGGGTTTCCAGTGGCGGGGTCTTTCTTTGGGTGTCCAGTGGCGGGGTCTTTCTTTGGGTGTCCAGTGGTGGGGTCTTTCTTTGGGTGTCCAGTGGTGGTGTCGATGGACATGATTCGTCGATCATTTTACATTATTTCTGATGTGCTATATCCCCAGATTTGACCTCTTTCTGACCTGAATTTGACCTTTCTGAGCTACTTTGCATTCCTATTTTTTCAAAGTGTATAAAGCATCAATGGAACATTATTGATCATCACAAGATAATCATTGATCATCACTGATAATCATTGTTCATCACTGGATCACCATTGATTGTCATTGTTCATCACTTTATCACCATTGATAGTAGGGTTGCACAGATACCAAGTACAGTACTCGGTACAAGTACGAATACATGTACCGATACTTTTTGAGCTCCAAGAATAGACTAGAGAAAAATAAAAAAATTAGGAGGCAGCTGTCATTTGTAAGGAGCACACGGAGCTCCTGGGATTTGTACATCTCTGTTATAATCTATGATTTTGTTTTTATAAATATAAATAAAGGGATGCAAATAAAGGGATGCACCGATACCAGTTTTGCGAGTACGAGTACTGGTACTTGCCGAGTACTTACAAGTACGAGTACTGATACATTTGTGTTTATTGTCATGTGACAGTTTTTTTCTAGAACAATACAGACTAAGACCCCGTTCACATATAGCGACATACCTTTGCAGCGGCCGGGATAGCGCGACTTTCGGGGCGACGTTCCAGCGACGGTAGCGAGACCTTCTCCGTCGGGCTCCATAGAAAAAAGCAAAATCGCGCAAAATCCGCCGGAAAAAGGGTCCGGTAGAAGCGACGAGCGACATGGAGTTAAGACAGCTCCATTGAATAGCATTGGCCGGCGACTTCTCGCGATATCGCGCAGCAATTAGCTATATGTGAACGGGGCCTAATGATTTCAGGACAGCGGTGGAGCACCAGAGCCAGGTCCCAGCTGCAACCTCTGCAACCCTGGTAGTTCTCATGAAAATGCCAAGTATCTGCACTGGTACTCGAAAAGTATCAGTGCATCCCTAATTGATAGTCATTGTTCATCACTGGATCATCGCTGATCATCAAACCTTCTAAGTGTATTATATTTGTATAGAGGTCTAGACATCAGGCCAAAGAGGGACAATTGAGGAGGAACAAGGGACAGAGGAATTTGGTACATAAAGATGGACAGTTCCTCCAAATGAGGATATGTTACATTTCAAATATAAGCGAGTCAGATTGTCGAAAAGGTTGAAGCTTGACGTGCAGTGCGTACTTCCTTGTATCTTTGTAGGGTGCTTGGTGAGTAGTATTTATGTTCTGGTCAACAATTATTTGGATGATATGTTACCTGGACATTTAGGACCCACTTACACTTGTGTGTTGTGGTAACTTGCACCAAACCGCTCCTCGCCACAATGCATGGCATCATTGTAAATGGCATCCCCTGCTTTAGGGAGTCATACCTGTTAATGTCAGAGTCTTGCAATGCCTTATGAGACTTGTAGTTCCACCACAGCTGGAGTGCCGAGGTTGCCTACCCTGTTATAACAGAAACCAGACATGACAGCCGTTGCATAGATGGTGAATGGGCCCTAATTGTCTTACGTTTTGGTTGAATCCTAAGTCCTGTTTTGCAGATGTTGGTATTAATTTCCTAAGATGTACCTCGCCTGATGTAATCCAGCGGACAACTTCCTCAACAGCGGAACTGAAGATCTTCTAGTATTGTGCGGTGTGACATTGTGACTGACAACATGTTATGGTCATTTGTGATTTGTGATAATGGTGCCCTTCATTTTTAGCTCTGCTATTTAGGGGGCCCAGAATGACTTCTGGGGTCACACTGAAAACATTTTCCAGCACAATAGAAAATAAGTTTGATGGCTTTTTCCACATAAATAAGTAAACTTTGCAGTAATGATTGAATGGTTCAAGGAGGACATGGCAACATTATGACTAGACACAGGATTGTGTTCTACTGACTCATAGGGGAAGCATTTTATTCTGGTCAGTCCTGTGCTTGCAATTAACTGGGTCATGTATAACAGGACTGGGCAAATCCTAGGAGCCAGGTCGCCAATGCTACGTAAAACATTACAGCTGGCACCTACCTTTTGAGGTTTTCTCTAGTAATCAATGTATCTGGCTCCTAAAAAAAAGTCCTGCTGGCACCTGGTTTTTTCCTGACTGGCTCCTGAATACCTTATTAATTTGTCCATCCCTGATGTATGAACTGGGTCATGTATGAGAGGACTGGACAAATCCTAGTAGCCAGGTCCCCAATGCTTCCTAAAAAAAATGACAGCCAGCATCTACTTGTTGAGGTTTTCTCTAGTTATCAATGGCGCTGGCTCCTTTAAAAAAAATTTCTGCTGGCTCCTGAATTCCATATTCATTACCCATGTATGAACTCTGTCATGTATGAACTGACATTCCTTCTTGTATGATGACAGCTTCATATGTGTTGTTGCTTTTTTTTTTCACCCCACATGCCACATTGATGAAGGGGAAGAAGTTAGTGGGCAGGGGGGCTGAGTTTTATAGCAACAGAACTTTGGGGCCCCTACACAGCACAACACTGTGCACCGCATCAAATGCGTGTTTGTGTATTTTAGGTGCACTGCGTTAGGTAGCCCTTGTACATGAATGGGCATGAAAAATAGTGCTGCTTGCATTTTTATGGAGCGCACATGCATTGTGGGGGGTGTTGGAGTGCCATTGAAAATTAATGCGTGCCCGATGTTTCCTTGATCTTTGTGCTGAAGGTATTAGCACCCAGAGTTACCAGTGCTGCCCTGAGAAGTACGTGTGCCCAGTAGCGGCACTGTAAAGGAATGCTCTGTGTACAGTATATTAATGTGGTGTGTTTATGTCTTCATAGGCACACAGCTATCTGGTGGTGACTCAGACATGCAGCCTGTTGATTGCAGAAGGTGTGGCAAGGACTGCTAATGCTGGAAGGTCTACAGGACAGCAGGATCTCTGCACTCCTCCCTGGAGATGTTCACCCTGGGAATATGTCTGCTCTTACTGTGGTCTGCGGAGGGGTTGGATGAGGTTTCAGCCAAAATTTTCCAACAGACGAACGCTGAATTCAATAAGGAATACAATGACTCTGTGAACAATGACGTTCAAAGTATATATGCCTTCAACCATACCATGCTGAGAAACAAGGTACGATGTATTCTAGAGATACACCCTATAATGAAAATTAAAACACGCAAGGGGGGAATCTATCAAAACTGGAGCAGACAGAATCTGGAACAGTTGTCCATGGAAACCAATCAGCTTTTCTCTTTAATTTCCAAAGCTTAACTGAACAGACTGAAGATAGAAGCTGATTGGTTACTATGGGCATCTGCTCGTAGATTCTGTCTGCTCCAGTTTGGATGAATTCCCTTCAATGTATTTTGTTGTGCACACTTTCGAGAATATGCAGTTCTTTGTCAGGCGTGGTGCGATGAACAACCCTGAGCGTTCTCGAAAACTTACACCACTAAATTATTTTGGTCATCCAATGACAGGTAAGGCCTACATGTTTTTACTCCCCTACTGCTATCAATGGCTAACAAAGTACAATGCTGCTAGCACGTTTGACCAGACGATTTTTAGTTTTACAGCCCGTAAAAGACCCGCAAGCCGGGCTGAACGCATTGCTGCTGGTGTGCAATGAGAGGCACAATGGTTATTGAAATGTCAAGAGTGACATGTCATAAAGATCAGTAGGCAACGCAAGATGTGATGCGGTTGTACCCCGTTGCACTGAAAAAAAGTACAACATGCCATATGTTGTTCAGCACACTCCAATGCAATGCGGTGCTGTGAATGGAGCCCATCCAAGCAAGGCTAATGACCTTGTCTGTGCAATGGGACTGCTCTGGGAAATGTGGCCAGCGCAACCCCAATGCTTCTAGTAGCCCTTAGTTCTGTATGGCTTTCTGCCCAGCAAATAGCACAAACTATCTTTAATAGCCGGTAATGTCTGTCTGTAGATTGCATGTACGGCTTGCCGGTATCTGTGATCTACAACAGGGGGTCTGGATTTATTGGTATGTGTAGGGGAATGGAAGAACGATTTTGTATCTCACAATTCTGTAAGTGAATTATACTTTTATTTCACATTGAAAGGCAGCGCAGGTCTGTGAATAGCTTCTGTTGTCACAAAATTGGTTGACATTTTTCACAGTGGGTGTTTAAGTGTCAGGACATTTTGCCAGACGAAGGGGTCCTTTGAGGCTCTGAAACGTTGCATTCACATGTCATGCTAAAGGAATACGAATGAAGATGTCATTCTGAAGAAGATTGGTATGCGGACAACATATCTTCTAGAATATATACTGGGGTTTCATCAACCTGTTGTTCCATCACCTGTAACTCTACGGTGTGCGAAGATGATATTGCAAAGGCACATGTCCTTTACATCAGAGTCTCCCTGATTGATAAAAATTAGAAGGAACCCCTGACAAGGCCAGAATGGACCCCTGGGTCCACAGCACCCTGGTTGAGAAAGGCTTCAATGGAGGCGCCTGAACACAGCCTGAGCACACACACTACACAACTGTTTTTGTGCCTACCAACTGGTCTCCTCCCTCCTTGCAATCTTGCCCAGGAAAAGAAGATGGAGGACTCTGTATTGTTTTTGTTCAATGTGGATGTTTTTATCTGCACGATGAGCGCCCACAGCAACATTTACAACCCCTCTTCCCTTTTACTCTTCTGCCACTAACAACAATGTGGCAGACGCTGCGGTGCAGACATGACTCAAGAGCTCTGAGAGCACAACATGCCACGCAGAAAAGGAAGCAGCTGTAAGGACGATGATGTCATACACGATACTGCTTTCCATTGGCCAAAACAAAAAAACCTGAAGCTTCAAAATGCATAAAACGAGCACGCAGAAATGTGCAGAAACGCTTCAAAATTGCCTAAAACCTGCTCTGCTCACATGTGAATGGGGGCCTAGTGTAGTGAATGTGGTGAAGCTCTGCTGACTTCAATCATCCAATCCTGCAAAAGCAAAATTCCTTTTATCTGTAAAAAATAAGTCAAGGCAACTGGACATGCTGTATTTTTTTTAGTCCAGTGGCCTTGACTTATTTCTTACAGATATACCATGACCTTGATGAATGAGAACCTTCACAGACAGAATTCCTTATGTTTAATCTTTCTTGGATGGGATTGGTCGTTCTTTGCAGAGTGAATTTGCACCACATTCACTGAGCTAAGTGCAAACTCCTTGTACATTGACCATGTTTTCCACCTTTAATAAATCAATCCCATAGTGTTTCTATAACAATGGAAAGCAGATGGGTAGAAGGGTGTGTTTGGTATTTTAGAATTGTTCTTCCTGCTCAGCTTGCTCGCCAACATATATAATAGAGTTTAACACTGGCATTGGTTTGTTGTGAAATGCGGCACCACAAACCTCAATGGTTCATTGTGACTGAGTTACTTCATCATGACAAAAAAGAAATGTTGAGATGTTTTCTACGCGAAGGGTGGGAGGTGGGAACTATTATGTGACAGGTCTCTGGGGGGAACCTTCACTTACCTCCTTTCCAGCATCTTGCATTAATGTCCCACTCAATCTGTATAGAGTGGAGATGGGTTAGAGCCCAAATTGTGGGCCGGGGGCCACGTGTGACCATTTTGTGACTTCCTGTGTGGGCCCTGCAGATAGTAGCCGGTGTATTTGTGTTTACCAATGAAGAAGCCAAATTCTCTAGACTTGTTCTGCTTTTTTGAGCTATTCACCCCCTTTCTCTTTTTTTTTTTTTTTCTTTGATCTCCAGTAATGGAAATTGCTGAGACTGCAGACATGCAACCAGCGGTGGTCAAATGTGGTACAAGTGATTATTAGGGGGTTTGTTGGGAGCACAGATGTGGAGGTATTGATCATTCAAGGGTCTGTGATATCAGTGATCTCTAGCAGCCATATATAAGGTTATGGTCCAAATGCAAAGAAGAGTGAGAGGTGCTGTGATCTTTGACTGTAAACGTCCCGTGGATGCATATGAGTTTCTTTTATGGGGATCAATTGTTTATGATTGTCTATATGATATGCAGTCCCTGACCATCTCATGTGACATGCCTGCAGTCTCTGACCATCTTCTGTGGCTGCCTCTGACCATCTCCTGTGGCTGCCTCTGACCATCTCCTGGGCTTGTCTGCAGTCTCTGACCATCTCCTGTGTCAGTCTCTGGCTATCTCCTGTAGCACGTCTGCAGTCCAGGCTGCACTTGAAGCCCATATATCATGTAGGTTGACCACCACTAGGTTAGAGCCTCTGTCAGTGTTTGTTATTGCTGTATCCCAGTAAAGGATATTTTCCAGTTATCAAGTGCCATGAATTGTCTTTATTCTTGCCTAGACTGAAGGGGTCAGAGTGTCTGTTAAAGTGCTGTCCGATCAGAAGGGAACACCATTGCTCTTTGGTGTCCGGCAGAAGGAGGCCGTTGTGTCATTCCAAGTACCTCTTACCCTCAGGGGATTGTAAGTAAAAATGTTTATGTCCTTATAATTGAACACAACATTGGAATTAATAAAGATGTACCTAAATGCTAATGTTTAAAATAAGTTTAACATATTCCAACCTCGGCACTCCAGCTGTGGTGAAACTACGAATCCCATGAGGCATTGCAAGACTCCGACAGCCACAGGTATGACTCCCAGAGTCAAAGTCAATGTAGGTTTTGTAGTTTCACCACAGCTGGAGTTCCTGACCTATATATTCATCTCTGAACATATAAAAAAATGTACCCGTCTTTCTTAAGATTTCAGCGTAACTACCAGTACCGGGATGTTGGACGCACACTCTGCCAACCGCCAACCAGGGCTGAGTCAGAGACGGAGTCCTTCTACGTGGATGTTTCCACCCTCTCGGAGAAAAATACCACATACATTCTACGTGTCACACACGTGGAGAATTTTGTACTGCGGTGAGAAGCAATGTGTACCGTTAATGTATGTTTGTATGGTGATATTCTGTCTCTGGCAGAGTGAATTTCATGGGATCTTTGTTTTTGTAGGACAAAAGAACGGTTCAGTTTTAATGCAACTCCTGCTCAGCCTCAGGTATAATGTGTAAAAGGTGGCAAGTATATGTTGTGTCTCAGCTACAGACAAGAATGATGTGTGTGCAGTTGTGGATATGTTGGTGTTGGGTGTATTTTTCATGAACGTTAACTAGCAATCTTCTTTACACAGTGAGAAGGTACATCGTCTGAAAGGCAAATGTTAGTTGTCATTTATACGATTAACACTTCACTCACTCTATGCTATCTGTGGTTGATGATGATGGTGGTTATCATCTTCTTGAATTGGAGGAATTTTGAAGAAAAGTGGAGATAGCCCTCAAAGGAATCTTGACATTGTGCATACATTGAGGAGGTCAACTACCCTCATAATCAGTCCTCTTTGAAGGAGAACTCCAGGAAAATCAAAAAGTTGCCCTTGCAGTGGGGCTTCCCCCGCACTGCAAGGGTTAAGTGCTCGTTTTGTCTAAGGGGTTCAGATAAAGCAGATTTACTTACCGGATCCTCAGTCCTGCAGCAGCCGACACTCGCCTCTCTCCTGCTCCTCTCCGGCTATGGAATGCCGGAGCTGGCAGGTCCGAGGATCAGGTAAGTAAATCTGTTTTTATTCAAGTCGCCTAGACAAAATGAGCACTTAACTCTTGCAGTGCAGCGGCAGTCCCATTGCAAGGGTAATTTTTTTATTTTCCTGTGTATATAAAGCCATTTTTGTTTTGTTTTGGAATGAGTGGGGAGTGGTTAGGATCTCTGTCTTTATGTTCCTGCTGGGGAGATTCACCCCCTCTATTTGTCCAGGTGATCATTGTCTCCAGTTGATCATAAATCCAACATTTTTGAGATGTCATCAGAACACAAGGTGAGAAGAAATCTTACAGTGGGGACACCTGTATCAGTGACAACTGTCTTAGAGGGGAATCCCCCCTGACTTTGTAGAGATTTCCTCCCTTCCTGTTGTGTTTCTGGGACTGGAAGTGAAGGGGAATCTCCCCAGCAGTGTAGAACTCTAAACATACTCCGACATCTAAACGTACACTAGAAGCAAAACTGTTTTGTGATGCAGAGATCCCTGCTTTCTGGAGACCAACCCCTGGTAAATTTGTTTATTTTACCAAATTAGTAAACGGACACTGATGGGTTTTAACATTTCGCTTTTCCAGTGCTGGACAAATCCCAGGAGCCAGGTTGTCAATGCTCCTTAAAAATTACAGTTGGTACCTAAGTAGGTTGTTGTAATTGAAGCAGGCTCCTCAATTGAATAGAGTGGCTACTGAATCCCATAATAATTAGTCCACCCCTGCCCTACTCTTTCCAAAACCAAGTAAAACTAGTTTTAGATACAGTAAGGGAGGGTTATTTTACCTTCTGTGTCCCATTTTTGCAATTTCCCTTTACTTCCTGCCTGATAGCCACAAGAGTGGAAATCCTTCCAAAGAGAAGGAAATCCCTGGTGGTTACTCAGCAGGGTCACAAGATCTAGTGTTACAATTGGAAGATATGCCATCTAGTCCTGTTCTGGTGACAACTCAAATTTTGTGATTTTTCATTCACTTCCACTTTCAGTAATAACAATCCCCATGGCAAAGGGGTGAACCTCACTAATGGGGACACAGACAGAAAAAAAACCCTGACAGCTGTTCTAATCCCTTGCTACTCTATCCAAAACTAAAATAAAGCTTTTGGCTTCAGTTGCCCTTTTAATGTATGTTTTAATGTTTAGTGTTGTCATCATAGAGATTGGTTTTACAAAGCTCTTCCAGTCATGATAAAGCTTTCTTTACTGAGGCTTACAATGTTGTTTTAACAGGTGAATGAATGTTATTGAATCTTAATAATGTCTTGTATACTTTATACTGGAAGCGGCTGTGTTTCCATAGAAAAGGGTGGTGAGTCTGTCCTACCACACCAGTGTAATGGAATTCCTCCTCCACATTCATATTCCATCTAGATCTCTGGTGCAAGAAGAGTCACCTCCTAACTGCTGCAAAATCAAACTGCAGCCATCACATATTTCCTTTGGCTAGAATAAGGAAGAGTTAAACTCGCCACCAATGTTAGAATCTGATTGTACAATCTTCTTTCGATCTACCAACTATGCAGTGCAAGGGTCTGCCTGATTGGATACAAATTGATTGTATAGATTATGTCGGTCCTCATATTGCATATTATTGTTAAATCTAAAGTTGATTGTAGTCAGATCTTGCAATGGAGGAAAAAACTGAACTTACCGGATACATGTTGGGTCTATGGGGAGTCGGATGTAAGCGGATATGTGTCAATTGATATCAGATTACCCCTGGTCTGTCACGATTAAGGATGGGCTCGGGCTTGTTCGCAGCTCCACGTGCCGAGCCCGCCAGGAAGCTGACAGCGCGCAGCGCCAATCACGGGTACTGAGATATTTTCCCAGTCCGCAGCTTTCCCGGTCCGCAGCTCGGGAAATGTCTCAGTGCCTGTGATTGGCGCTGCACGCTGTCGGCTTCCTGGCGGGCTCAGCACGTGGAGCTGCGAACACACCCGAGCCCATCCTTAGTCACGATCAGATCCACTGAAACAGAACTCTGTTGCATGTGGTTTTCCAGACCTGGTGGGTTCCAGCTGCCCATAGCCTAACATTGGGCTCAGTTGAAAAACTATAGGTGGAGCTGATTGGACCGCCCATGTGAAAGGGACCTAAAGCTTTTTACACTAGGCACATGTTTGCAATGTTTATTTGCCCTGTGCTACTGTGGGGATCTCCATAGTAGCAATGGTTAAACGTATCTGCTAATTCCCTCCAGCGTTATCTAGAATTGTTACATTGTATCTCTTGTTATTAAGATGTTTTTTCCCCCCATATGATTCCAGCTCCGTATAGCGGTTTTAGAGCACACACCAGCCCCAGTGCGTTCCAGCCCGATTCTGGTCGGAACACACTGGATCGCATCCCGGCAAGCTCACTTTGTTAGGGGTTGTTAGGTGTTGGAGCATTGAATCAATGGCACAGCAGCCACACGCCCTGCGGCCACAGTGCGATCCGCACGCGTTCCGGTGCGGGCAATCGCACTACAGCCGGAGGGTGTGGCTGAGGTGCCATTGACTTCAATGTACTGTCACGCCCCATCCCGCCCCATAACAAAGTGAGCCTCACTGGATGCGATCCAGTGCTTTCCGGCCAGAATTGGGCCGGATCGCACTGGGGCTGGTGTGAACTAGCCCTGACACTACTGCCCATTATCCCCATTCACTAATACCGATAATATTTGAAGGAAATTTGACCAGAAGAGAAAACATTTGATTTTGCCCCATTCTCACAACATCTTGGTAACTCGTACAGAACAAATGTACATCCAGTTTCAGCAGACAAATTGCTGTGCAAGTTTCTCTTTATAAATTGAGCCCATAATATGTAGACTTCTTTATTTTCAGTTGCTCACATTACCTGTAAGCACCTTCAAGCAAGGTTTTATTCTTCGATAGAACACTATTGATTATTTTTTCAAGTTTCAGTTCTAGGTGCCTGGTCTTGATAGTGCCAAGTCTATACAATAATGGTGCCAAGTCTATATTCTAAGCACATTTAGCTAATGCCTTTTTTTTATAACACTGGTGAAGTATTTCACATAAGATTCTGTAAATCAATGCTGAAATGTGGCACCCCAGTAGCTAAACTATCATTTTTAAAATCTTGTGTATAAAATGTTTCCATTCCCTCTCAGAATAAAGGAGGAATACAGTATACATTGTGAGAGCTTTCAGTGTGTCATGTTTTTATAAAGTAAAAGTCTTATTGTTTATAAACAATGTTTTTTATATATGTATTGATATTTTTTGCTGTTCCTCACCCCTTTACTTCTGTTTCTTTGCAGTATTTTAAATATGTGTTTCCTACGGAGGTGGACTCTGTGATTGTAAAGGTTTCTTCTCCGTCTGCCTTCCCCTGCTCTGTCATCTCCATTCAGGATATTCTGGTGGGTCATTATTGAGATCATTCATTTAAAAAGGAAAAGTGGTCTGAAAGGAAAATGACCTGGAACAAGTGTGCAGATCAGAAACTCTGACTTTAATTGCTGCATACTTGTTCCAGGTTAGTGGTTTAGAAACTGACTTAGAAACTATTAAAGCCAGGCAACTAGCATTTTCAGAAGGAGATCACCAATGATCGCCTACATATTTCTCTAAGGAGAGGATCCCGATTTGTCACCTTTCCTGGTGCCCTTGCTGCCAAACACCTCTCCATTCATGACGTCTCATCTCCTAAATCGACACACCCGGGAGTGTCCATCTCCTGGGTCCCCCGCAGCTATCACTTATTCCTCCTGGAGACCTCCGCGTCACTACTTTATCCTACAGTGATGTTAAGGTCAGAGAGAGGAACCACTAAAGCTCACCAAACAGATTACACTCTTATTATACAAGCTCTACCAACAAGTATGTATTGCAAATGCCTGTCTGTATACAGATTGATTGGATAGTTTAGGTAGCTCCTCATAGTACATAGTTGTGGTAAATTTAAAGTTGATGGTACAGAGATTGTAGGGTCAGACTGTAAAGTGTGTGATATCCAGGCTTGTCCATATAGTGAGACAGCCTAAAGGATGTTGCCTAGGGCAGCTTCTCTTTGGGTCATGTATGGGGGGCTTTCGGGCCAGAGCGTCCTAGGTTGCTAAGAGCCATGCAGGGCCTTACACATCTCCCCTCCCAGCTCTTGGCAACTTAGGACGCTTTGGTCGGCATCCTGCCCAGCTCCTGGCAACCAGGGACATCGGTGAGCTGTGAGCTGTGAGCGATCCACTACCAGGACAACCTCCGCTTCTTCCCCCCGAACATGACCACCAGTCACCACAGTCAGTAGTAATGCTAGGGACACTCCTGGTGATAACTCTAAGAGCTGCAGGGAACTCAGGAGCTTCACACTACCAGAAAGCTGCCATTGTTGACCACCTTTTGGAAATGCTAGATGCTTAGCTGCCCTGCTAATTCTGAGGTTCAGTACTTTCCAGAACAAGTATACAGAAACAAACTTCTGACTTTATTTGCTTCCTACTTGTCCTTGGAGTCAGAAAGTACAAAAGTCGTAGGTTCAGTGTCACACGTTGGCAGTGGTAATCTTTGTATTTCTGTTGCCATAAGTTTCTTTTAAAGAGAACTAGTCATAACTGAGTAGATGCAAGAATCTGAATGTGCAGTGTTAAAAAGTGATTCTGCTTTATATTTAACCCAGTTTAGCTTTAATCACCTTAATTAGTATTTACTGTACCTTTGACAGCCCACGCTCTTTCAACTACTTGACTTTTCACACATTCCCGAGTCCTAGCACAGCGTCAAATAACTGAGGCTTGCTGGTGATTACATTTGTCTTAAAGCATATGTCAAGGCAAAACAAAATCTCTGCAGTGCATGCACTCTTCCCTGTGTTTTAACCCTTAAAGATCCTGCAAGTACAGCAAAATACCTGTTGATGTGCCATAAATGCACTCCGGTCTTAAGCCCTTTTGTGGGTTGGTATCTCTCAGCATTTTTGTGGACTGAGTGGTGTCAGCCCTGCCCAGTGTCTTTTGCTAAGCTACCCCGCTACTTCCACTCTCAGATTTCTGCAACATAAAGGTAAATAATTCTGTAGTCCGAGATAGGATCTAGGAGGGCTCAACAGAGATAACACAGCAAGTGTGCAGAGGGCACACAACAGCTCTGAATTTGTCAGGGTCAATTAGGTATTTTTTCCAATTATTAAACAAATCTAACAAAATGCTTTCGATGGTATATTTAACAGACCAAAATGGAGCAAATTGGACACGCTTATTATTAGGATTTACATACATTTTAACTGAAGCGCTTTGTTATATGACATTGTTAAGCACTACGGAGATAGGCGACAGTAGCATCATAGAGAATGCAGATGCTGGCGGTACTTGCTGGTGACTTTGTGGCACATTGGAAGGAGTGGCACTAAAGGGGAGGTTAGACACCAGAGAGTAGCTGGCACAAAGGCAGTAAGGCAATGGTTAAATATAAGGGGTTCCTTTTTAAAGTAAAAAATGTACTCTGATAGTAATGCTGATTTTTGGCAGCAGGCCTTCTCCCAACTTTCCCACATATGCCCAACTCCCTTATCCATCGCCAGTCCTCCCCCCCCCCCCCCCCCCCCCAAAAAAACCCAAAACACACTTTC